TGTGTGTGTGTGTGTGTGTGTGTGTGTGTGTGTGTGTGTGTGTGTGTGTGTGTGTGTGTGAAAATGTATATAAAACACATTTTCTAATTATATTGGACAGGTAACATGAACAATCTTTTGCATGCAATTATAATATCTATTTCTAAGAATTAATTTCGACATTTAATGTGCATGAAGATATTTTGAAATATATTGACTTCATACGAAATGACATTTGAATATTAACAACGAAGGATTAGATTATACCACAAATTTCTCATATTATATAAAATTATTCTATTTTCTGCTACATTTACATTCTTGACATATATTACAAACTATGAATTAAATATAATTTAATGTAAATTAAATATCCTTCTTAATGTATAAGTTTTTTAATCCTTCAAGAAATTCTCCATATATATTGTGTGTGTATGTGTGTGTGTGTGTGTGTGTATACACACACACACACACACACACACACACACACGAAATAAGTCCGTACATTAAATATGCGTATGTTGCAAAGAAGAGATAGAAAAAAAAAATTTGATAAGAAAATAATAGCCACACGTATTATTTGTAATTATAAATTTGTACAATATTTATTGTAAATATAAATTATATGATCCAGCATATATTCGTTTAAAAAACGTTTCACAAATGTTTTTTCAAAACGTTTTATAACAGGTTCTTGAAAACGTTTCTGATTAGTTCAAATATCTACTCGAAAAAAGTTAAGGAAAATATTTTTTCTGATAAAAAAACGTTTAGTATAGGCTAACACAACCAAAAATTGGCTATTGCAACCAATTAAAAATGCTATGCCATATTTTACCATCTAATTTGCTGCAGCAGCCAATCTTTTTTTCAGTGTATCTGTGAAAAAATTTACTTTCTCATAGAATTATTAAAATAATGCATTCTCATGTATAGGATATATATGTATTTTTTAAAATAAAAAAAAAGTTGAAAAATTATTAAAATAATAATTTTCTTGAATAATTTATTCAATTTTATTTAAAAAATATATGTTTTTACGTGTAAAAATATATATATTATTTTATTAATTCTATGAAAAGCGAATTTTTTCATGAATAAAAAAAAACTGTTTTTTTTTATTTTATCGAAAAAAATACACATTCATATACACTAATTTTTTTTCCGTAATGTTACATAGTACAAGATGTTACAGAATCAAATATAAATAAAGTTATGTAATTATAGCTTAACTAAGCGTGATAATCCGACGAGCATTTTTATGTAGGTTCAATCGTAGTTGTCATTATGATTATAAACTAAAGATGACTTTCTGTTCTTCTATTATCTCACGTATTTAATAATCAATCCCAAACTTTTCAACAAAAATCTCCAATATTTTACATATTTCAACGAGTGAAGCTACAATAAAAATGTAAAATTTTGTTGGACAATAACGCACTAGAAAAATAATTTGAATCCTGTTCAGCAAATACAAACAGCAAAATATTTGATAGCATTAATCATATTTACAAAATATCCAAATTATTCTCTTTGCCTACACAATTTCATACATTCTTCTTTTGGATTTAAATTGATGGGATTTGAATTAGGTATAAGGCTTATTTTTATAATAATCGTTTATCGTAATTACAATGTTTAAAATCACACATTGCATCAATTTAAAATATATTAATGTATACCAATATATTATAAAATTTTTCTTTTTTTCTGAATCGCGGAGATATTGTCTGTGAATTAAATCTGACGAATCTTGAGTGTTCGTTTTCATAATCTACGTCAAAATAGTTACAGTTTTCATAATCTAGTCAAAATAATTACATAAAATTGTTTCAAAAAATTGTGGCCGCTCAATTGATAGGAATCTCTGTTCATTAATTATTTGAGTACCCATTCGTCCGCACGCTGTAATTGATTGTCATTAGATTAATTTACGATAGCGTATGCGGTTATAGATAAATTATATTTATATAATACAATTAAATATTGTGGCACTCTCTTTACTAAATTTGACTCAAATAATCGTGAGAAAAATAATCTTTGTTCTTTTGTCATTGATATTTACATCCTCGGTTCATCGCACAGTTTCATGTTCAGAAGAATGCGAGATAAATTAATAGCCGAATTTGCGCAAAAGAAAAGATAATGTTTATTTTCTCTATTTTTTCTATCGTATTTTAATTTGTTTATTAATCTGATTATTTTAAATACGATAAGGAAGAACGTATCTATTATAAACATACATATATGTATGTGATGTCGAGTCACATTAATTTTACGGGTAAGTTCTACAACAGAGCTGGGATTTAATTGCATATTTCGGCCGATTTTCAGTTTGGTTCCTGCCCCTTATTTCACCAACCCATGCCGATCGGCATTTAGGCTGCGCGCGAATTGGTGAAGGGGCAAAAACCAAGCTAAAAATCGGCCGAAATGTGTAACTAAATCTCAACTCTGTTCTAAAACATGCGGAAAAATCTGATTATCGAGAAACCATAAATCTTCATTCATTCGAAGACTAAAAAGAAACGCTCATGGTGATAACTCGTTGTCAACTATTTTTTTCGAAAAGGGATCCTGTTTGCACAGAATATTAGTTGCACATGTTCAGTTGGACACCAGCCAATCACAACGCTAGAAAAAAAAAATAAAAAATCCCCCCTCGTAAAAGTCGCTGTGATTGGCAACAGCCAATTGCAACAGTGTGTAATTGTACTGCTCCCCATTGAACATCGGTAAGAATAAAATAGAAACTTAAAAAGGAAGGTATTGTAGTTTATTTCCGAAAGTCATCCAATCGATGGAAGGTCTTTATGTGTCTGCGAACGCAGAAGGAGTAGTTGCTGCGGAAGTTGCAGAGCTCGCAGCGGAACTTGAGAGTGCCGGTGTTATGAACATTGCTCACGTGTCTCTCCATGTTCGCCTTGTATATGCTCTTGTAAGGGCAGAAGGTACAGGAGAATGTCGTGGTATTGCGCGGATTCATTTTACAAGCGAACTGCATATGTTTCTTTAGCAGACTCTTCGGCGCGTAGATTTTCTTGCAGTGAGGACACATATATCGTTTGTGCAAATTCCAACCGCTGCTATCTGAAACAGACGAAGGAAGCTACGATGCAGCTATGTTCGTTTTATATAGGGACAATTGCAAACAATCGTCCGCATAAAAGAGACCTATGATTGTCTGATCGCCATGAACTGTCACGTAGTATGTAACTGATTGATGTGACTATACGTTAAACAAATCGATTGTTTAGGTCACTTTTAAATTGTAAATATTAGAAATTAAACAGCTTTCATTTAAACAACCTCAGCTGTTCCATAAGATAAAAATGAAGAAATTTATTAAAATGTACACAACACAAACCCATTGCTGCTAAGCTAGAATCTCATCCATTTCTTTCTTCTTCTTATAGGCTACAATATATGAGATCTAAAGTTCAGTAGTACGGATCAACGTCGAAGCAATGATTCAGCCAGATATGTAGAAATCCCTGAAAATTGTCAACTTTAAAACAATTGATCTTATTTGATTATCAGTGATATCATCCATATATTTACATATCCAAAGAGAATGGTTGCATCAGTAAAATGTAAATGGATACTAAGGTAGTCAAATTAAAAAAATCAAATGAGGGAGGTTTCGAAAAAAATGTCTACGTAACTCACTAAAAATTACTCATTATTCATTATTCTTTATATAATATTGCATTATAATTTTTTATAATATATTTAATTGCACTTGCAATCATAAAATGCACATTAATGTCTAGTAGACTAGACTTCAGTCATTCTCTAATGTACCCAAACAACACAAAGTCGACTAAAAGTTGACTATAAGTTGACTGAAAAAGTCAAGAGTCGACTAATAGTCGACAGAATGTCGGATAACAGTCGTCGAAAATAGGGAGTTTTCGCAATACCGTTTATCCAGCTTTATGAACGCTAAGATCAGCTTATCTTCTTCTTAACAACTAATTAAGAAAAGGATAACGTTACTTTAGCATTCACCATATCTGGATTCACATTATTGCAAAAACTCACTAATGTCCCGAAAACAATCGACTATTATTAATCGAACTAATCAAAATTGACAAGTTATCGAATAGTCAACTTTTGAATGATTAATGTTTCACTTTTTTGTTAACTTATTTAGATATTGCGATAACTAAAAGATATTTTATGGTCATCAACGTTCAATAAGTTAACAAAAAAATGGAACGTAAACTAAAGTACAACACGTAGAGTGATCTGATACTAGAGAAGAAGAAGCCCTTTTTGGAGCTCACTTTAACTAGAGTGAAAAGATGCCGGATGGTTCCGTGAAGCCCTACTTCTAGTAGCGCGGGACTAATTTTGAATACGGGTTAATACTTCGCCGCGTGGCCCTCACGCGGTGGTGGTCGGAACTCGCGCCAGGCGATTTGTAATTGACTAAAACATAGTTGACTAACAGTTGACTGTACTTAGTTGACTTTCAGTCGACTTTTAGAAATTAATTAATAGTCAGCAACTAATCGACTGCTGTCAACTATAAGGCTACTGTTGAAAGTCGACTTTAAATCAACTGGGAA